GGAGCTGCGCAATGAACGACCATAGCATCGAACACTTGCAATATTTCTCCCATCCACTCGTGCTGTTTGTACCCCATCACAGTAGCATTGAACTTGAACATCTCCTGATCTTTTGAGACAGGATGAGGGGCGGCACAGAAATGAAAAGCAACTCCGGCAATAATGCTGATGAGAGGCAGGAAAAGTTGTGGGAACTTTGTTGTTACTAAGACCTTGGGCTGGTCCGAAGAATAGCAGTGCAACTTCAAGAGCAAGAATCGCAGGGTCTAAACAGACAAGCATGCTGCAGCATGCTGGCGATCTCAACTTCAGATAGCAGGCTCTGGCGACCTGCCGACTTCCTACCATGGCCCTCCTCCATGGAAATCTCCTGGCATTGAAGAGCTGAGCATCACTGCACTACTAACCCCCAAAATACAGCAGTCCTGCGAGGCATCATCATGCGCCGCACTCTTCTTCACTGACAAGAAGCTGGACTTGCCTCACAGCTGCATTCTTTGGCAACCATTCAGACACGCACAGGAGATGGAAATGTGCTTCGGAGGGGTGCCAACCACTACAGAACAGCATGGACATGCGAGATTTGCGGATTGGCACGCTGCATCCATGTCGAGACCAACAGAGTAGCTTTTCACATGGGCGGGTTTCCCGATTTCGCGCACTAAGTTGCACACATCCTGGCAGCGTTCAATCCAGCCCTTCGGGCGAATTCAAAGTGAAAATGTGCCATGAACCCAGGGAGCATCTCGCACCCCGAACCTCATGGCACCACATGAGGCTGTAAGTAGAAGGATGGCTGGATGCCGGCCCGCTGCCGCCCAGTCGGAGATACGGAGGCATCAGTGGCTTCAAGCAAGCTCAAAAAGTCCTGAAAGGTCAGCTCACCCCTACAGGCTGCATCAGCTTCCCGAACAAGTAGCTCCACGTTGACGCCCTCAAAAGTTTCACCAATGACTTTCCGCAGATCATCTGGGCTAATCGTCCCGGAGCCATCTGCATCAAGGCGGTTGAAGGCTGACAGCACGGCTTCCTGGCGCAACTGCTTCCGCACGTCCATGGTGGCTGCAAGGAAATCTGAATAGTAGACTTGCTCGTCGCCATTCGCATCAAGAACTTCGAAGAGGCTGCCGATCACTTCGGACTTTGCCCTGCGGAGCCGAGCTGCTGGGGTCTTTGGGGACTTGGGAGAGGCGCCGCCAGGCACTGCATCTTCCGTGGCCTCCTCTCCGCGGATCGCTTCCTTCAGCTCACCCAAGGAAATGGTGCCTTCCCCCGTTTTGTCCAAACTCAAGAAAACATCCCGGAGATCCTTTGTTTCATCCGGGGCTAGCTCTTGTGCAAGGAGTTGCAGCACCGCTCGCCGCACTCTAGAAGTGTCAGCGTAGCGGCGCAATGCTCTGAGAGAGTCCCGGTCCAGTACTGGATGAGGATCTTTCAGATTTCTGGGCTTCAGCCACTTGTGCTCAAGCGCCTGTGCCACATCCATCCTCTGAAGTGGATCTTTTACTAAGAGACACTTGACCAAATCAACTGCATCCTCAGAGACTTTGCGCCATCTGCTCTTGTGACTCCAATCGACACTTGCAGCCAAAATGTTGGTGCGCATGTCCTTCTCGCTGCCATGAAATGGTGGGTAGCCCACTAACCTCGGACAGATTTCATTTGCCCTCCGAGACATTGTCTCCGAAAGCGCACGAGACGTGCATGTGGCATTAGCAAAGCAAACATAGCAGACTGAACTGAACAAACTTCAGGATTCTCTATTTTTGACAAGGAGCAGCATGAAGACAATGACGCCTAAACTCCACAAATCACACTTGCTGGTGTAGCCCTCCCCTTTCAGGACATCTGGGCTGACATAAGCGATGCTGCCGCAGGATGCCAACATCAAGGTAGAAGGATCCCAAATCTTTGCGAACCCAAAGTCAATCAGTTTGAGTGCTGCATTTGCCTCTTGAGTTTCGTACAAAAAGTTTTCAAGCTTCAAGTCGCGGTGTACCACGTGATGTGCGTGAAGGTAGCCAACGGCAAGCAGCATCTGATGCGTAGCTTCTGCGGCATCTGATTCTGCGTAGGTGCCGGAATTCGACAGCCGGGAGTAGAGCTCGCCACCCTCGCAGCACTCAGTCAGAAGTGCAATCTCAGCCTCTGTCTCATAAACATCCCTGAGTGCAGCAATGTGCGGATGGTCAAGCATGAGGTAAATCTCTACTTCAGCGGTCAGCTGCTTCAGCACTTTAGCTTGAACCTTCAACTTGTGGATGCGCTTTAGCGCATACTTGCGTCCATCCTTGCGGCCTTTGGCCATTATGACCAATCCACTGCAGCCCTCACCGAGAACCCGCTTTGGAAAGATCTCGTAGTCATCCTCCAACTGGCGGCCGCCTGAACTGGCACTGTGGTACCTCGCATGGGTACTTGCCGCGTTAAAGGACATCGCTTTGGCCCTGTCCAGTGAGATGGTCAAGTTGTCAGACGTCTTGCGCGCCACATTCGACTCATTGCCCTGTGGACTCTGGCCATCTTTGGCGGTTGCCTGCTTGGCAACGCACACTCCCATAAGCAACAGGAGTCGAGGTCTTTGCACAAGGCTTGAATTCTGGTGACACGCGGGTCACAAGCCACTGCACATACAGCCGCTCATGAGCTGACAGTGTGGCACTTCATCTGTAACCATGCTTGAGCAATAGCATTCGCAAGCCGGCATTTGCAAATTCGTCACTTGAAACACATCACACTCACAGCTGCCGAAATCTACACATACTACAAAGAAACGGAAGACTCAGTGTGCAGAAAACAACGGACGGAAGCTGCCTTTCTTCTCCTCTTCCTTGTGTTCTAGATGCTCCTTGGACTCGTGCTCTTCATGCGCGCCATCATCGTTCTCATCATCGCCATTTCGCCTTTCACTATTTGCCAAGGCCCAGCACTGCTGGATGAGCTTCAGGCGACCAGAATAATTGTTGCGGACGTAGATGAAGGCTCCGCCAATGTAGTTGAAAAAACGGCACAGTGTGATCCGAACATCCATGGTGAAAAGGTCACCAAGATCTGCGGCAAACAACTCTACAAGCGCATCTCGAAAGACTTCAATCCTGGGAATTGTCACATCCGTCGTCAAGTGCTGAAAGCTCAGGGTGTCCACGAGGATTTTGAACTCTTCAGGATACCCGAGTTTTGAGATCAGGAGAGCGAGGCTGTTGGCGAACTTCATGCCTTGCACCTGAGCAAGCGGACGGGCGGCAAACCGCATGCGGTGTCGACAGCAGTAAGTTCCAAACTGCCCGAGGCGTCGTCCACAGCGACTGGAGGCTTGGGGCGGCCTTCTACAAACCCCCGTAACCAATTAAATTGAACAGTGCGCAGGTTATCCATGCAAGCCCATGCCTTCAAACCCAAGCTCCCGCTGCCTCAAAGAGCGTGGAGTAAACTGCTTCTCCGGCTGCTTCCGGCGAGCCCGCATTCTCCACAAGCTGAGCAAATCCACCCTGCAAAGCAGGCTTGCTTGAAGGCCCATGCAAGTGCAAGCATTTCCAGCAGTCCAGCATGCATCAGGCATCCGGTTTCTGATCGGCGGCTGGTGCGCCTGGACCTTGGCGACCTGTTCAGCCGGCAATCGCAGCTCTTCAAAAGTCTCCGTGTTCACCTGGTGGCGAAAGCTGAGGACATGCATGGCGTTGTCCACAAAATGGAACACAATGATTCGTGATCATTAGCTGGTTCCACCTCCAGACACATCGGGTCGGTAATGTCCTCCTCATCATAGTCCTTGAAACCACTTGCTGCGCAGCTTTCTTTCTTTCTTTCGTTCGGGCTCTGGAGAGACCGCTTAGTGTCTTCCCGGGCGCATGCCCAGCCCAGGTCTCGCTCTCACTCTTCAGTTTGGCATGCTTCTCCGTGCATAGTGAATATGCAAAAGGCCCCCCACGCAAAGTTTAGGGTTTGAGCTTAGCGTCGCTCATGTCAATCCTATGAGGCCCAACCACCCTTTTGTTTTCTTACAGCAGCAGCACCTGCTTCGTAGCCAAGGGTGGCTAACTCAGCTTGGGAAAGCACTTCATCAGCAGCTGCCGACACATCTTGTTGCAATTCCAGCTATCTCGATCTACTCCTCCTAAGGGAACTCCGGGTTCACGAGCAATTTTGACAGGGCTGCGCAGGGAAACTGGGGAAAGCAAATTGTGGGCAAATATCTCAAGCAGGCAGTTTTTGGTGCCGGAGCACTTTTGCTTCTGTGAGGGGGCCTTCACAACCATCCAGGCATCATTTTGGGGATTTGATGCGCATGTTTCGCAAGACACGTGCTAGAAGTTCTGCGCGCTGCGCCAAGTTTATCCATGTCACTTGCGGCCTTTGCACTCGATCATGTTGCATCTGCCTGGATTGTGCTTGGCCTGATCCTAGTGGACCGTTTACACCTTGCAGCAGTCGAGCCACAAACTCGTCTCCAACTCCAACAGGCGAGCCATCGTCCAAGTCGATGCGCTCGGTTTGCTCCTTATTGATTTCGACTTCCCATTGGTCCTGCGTGCAGGGCTGTTGGAAAGAGGGCATGTCCAATCCAAGCGTGCCTCGTCATCCTCCAAGTTGGCTTCCTCTTCAGCTCTTTCTGCCTGCCAGTCATGGTCCACACACACTTGAGAAGCAGCAGCTCTTTGTGGACCCCTCCGCCTGGCCTTCTCATCTGAGGCACAGCTTCTTATGCTGCCGCTCCCATTCCTGTCATCCCCGTCATCATCCATGACAAGGAGCGGCTTTGGAGCCTGACAGAGAAGCAAATGAGTGGCGACATGCGGGTACAAGCCGTGGAGCCTTGCATGCACATTGTATTTCCCGTGCTTTCTAATTCCCTGTCTGAGCCAACCGCGGAACGAACGCTAAGCTGCGGTGAGGCGGTGATCAAGTGCCGTTGGCTGACGTGTCACAGCTGTGACGATTCGTTGGGAAAGCTCCTCAAGCTTGCTATCTCATCGTACCCCGCAGCTACGTAAGAGCGTGGCCAGTGACCAAGCAAGGCCTTTTTGAAGCGGTTATCGCCTGAGAGCTTCATGGCAGCAAACGAGTCTGCTAACTCTGAACAGTACTAGTTGACATTGAGAAGTGACCAAGCATGTGCATCAAGCGGTGGGTAAGCGAGACTCAGTTGCTGCAAAAGCAAAGTCTCCACATGCAAGAAATAAGCTTCGCAGCTCCCACTCCATATTCTGTTTCGATCCCAGGCCTGACAAGCACTCTTGACAAGATGCCGTGCTCTATCCTTTTGTTGAATAGATGCGCAGTCTTAGACCAAACCGCTTCCCTACGTTCTGCTTTTCCGGAAGCCAATGAAGCTCCGGATGGTTCTTAAAAAGCAGGACACAGCGACCTGCTGCCATCTCGGTGTTGTTTTCGAAGCTACCTTGCGTTGCACACTGCTTTGCTTGCGAGAACACGGTGCGGCAGGCAGGTGGCAAAGTTCAAAGTTCATCTTAGTGTGCTCTCCGAGCTGCACGATTCGCCCTTGGAACCCGCTGCATCTTCACCTGCTACAGATGCACAAGTAGACAAGGATTGACCGCAGCAGACACGTCGTTCGCACCACTCCTTGCTGGTAGTGTCATACAAATATCCTCGCCGCATCTGTAATTCACAAGCCGTTAGGGCTGCTACAGCCTGCATTAGCCTGCCGTGTGGCTTTATTTTGAGGGCACATGTGACAAAAAGTGGCCAGGGCAGGGCACGCAAAGGCCGCGAAGCACTGGCTGCCCCTGCACAGGCACCTTGAGATGGCTCAGCAACCGCCAGGAGACACTTGAGGCATGCACGGGAATTTCTGCAAAGTTTTACACTCGCCAGGTGAGCAGACACCGACTAAGGGGCTGATACACGGTTGCACCCAGAATTCCTGAATCAACCAGACATGTTCAACTGCAACCGCAGCACCCCCAGAGGGAACCATGACCTTCTCAATCCTTCTCGACTTCCGAACCACGACAGCCGAACTTTTTTGCAAATGATCATCGCTGATCAAGTCTCGCATAGCTACACACAAGCTTGCATGCGCTTGCACACAAGCCTTACACTGATTGAGGGCGCAAGTCAAGCGAGTTGTTCCTTCGGCTCGCTCGCAACCGCACACATCGAGTCAAGGCTTTGCGGTCGCAGGTTTGGATCTTATCCTCTTGGGAGAGTTTCCCCCTTTGCGGTGAAAGTCCAGCTGCTCTCATCAGCCTCTGGAACCTGGGCGGCCTCGGTAGCCCCCTCCCCCGCCATATGAGCCCCCACCGTATCCACCAGGACCTCGAGAACTGGGTCCTGTGCCCTGCGTTCTTTGCGACTTATGCGGGGCATATTGGTGCCGCCCGCCATCACGACCTTCCCGTTCGTGCCGACTCCTCGATGTGCGGTGCCGATCCCGGTCATCGCGACCAGGTCCTTGACCGTAAGACCGCTTTTGACCAGCGCCTGCGTCCCTTGTGTGTGATCTTGGGACAGGAGGTGCGGGTGGAGGCCGGTTGCCGCGAGGGGCATCTTTGCGACTCTCTCCACCTCGGCCCCTATGGTCACGCTCGCTGCCTGAAGTCCAACGCAAATCGCCTCGAGCCGGAGGCGCACCTGCCCTTGGAGCATGGCTTCTTGGAGGGGGAGGGCGCTCTTGGCGCTCGTATCCCCGGCCGCTCGCTTGCCGACGATCATCAGGCTGGAACTGCTGTCTCTGGGCCTGTGGCTTCTGCAATCGCAGGGCTGCTGTCTGATCTCCGGCATCTAGCTTGCGAAGACGCTCTCGGCGAAAATCTTCGGTCAGCCGCATGAAATTTTCCAGGGGCGTGTCATCCGACAGCTGTGGATCCAGTACCGAATTATTCGGCAGAACCTCAATGGTGTCCCTGACCATGTGGAGGAGTTCCGTAATGGACTCGACTCCATATGTTCGGAGGGCTAACTCCTTCCCCCAAAAGGCTTCAAAATAGAACTGTGTGTGGCTGGCGTGGAAAGAGACCTCAGCACTCAGCACGACTTTCTACCACTCGGCACGCGGTAATGCCAGTGAGACTAAGGGTGGGGCCCGTTCAGGATCGTTCATGCAGTGCTTGTACCCATGGACCAGAGCATGAAGCTGGAATCGCAACTCCAACATCATCCAATCTTCCCAGGTGAACTTGGAGAACAGAGGCTCACCTGTGCTAATGTCGGTCACATCCTCCAGCTTCCAGGGATCAACGTCATCGCAACTGTCCGGAAGCTTGTGGGGCTTAGGGTCGTCGTCGTCCTGACGGTAGAAACTGGCAGCAGCAGCAGCAGCAGCGGCAGCAGCAGCAGCAGCAACCCCAGAAAGCATGGCATGGCATCATGGCAGGATCTTCATGAAGCAGTCAAATCGTACACTAGGTGGCTGCCAAGTGTCAAGATCCACCACTTTGTCATCAAGCCTGCCCACTGGCAAAGGTTTGTCTTTTTCCTGAGGCTGCTCCTCCCGGCGTCGCCGTGCTTCCTCTTCCACACGCCTCCACTAGCATTCAAGCATGCAATCACCCTCTGGCATTGTCAGCATGTCATCAACCCCTACGCTCCGGAGGAATGCAAGGCTACAAGTACATGAACCTTAAAGCTTCGGAACAGCCTTCTTTTCATTGGATCTTGCCAGTCTTCAAGCTTGCGCTTCCATTTCATCATGCACTGCTGCCACAGCTCCACCTGCTTCTTGAACCACTCGTTCGGCTTCAAATCCTCCACCCTTTGGGTCAATTTCCTCTCTGCAATCCATTTTTTCATGTGTTCTGAACACTCCTTCTCACCTTGCCAAACAAACTGGATCTCGTGGAATCCCTCCTCTACTGTTGGCAAAGCAAAACTACTGAAAACCTTCGCCAAGTCTTTCTCAGGAATATCGCCACCATTTTGCTTCTGAAACCAAGTCTGCATCTCAGAGTCGGAAAGCTTCACTTCATCCATCTTGGCCTTGATTTCAGCCTCCAACTCCTCTGGACTTAGACTTGCTTGACTTCCATTGTCCCATTTCGAGCTCCGCTTGGCCCGCTTGACATCTGCCGCTGCTTGGTCCCTACGAGCTTGCAGCAGGCTCTCGCGAGCTTCTGCTTTGAACTCCTCTGGCGGCTCCCCCATTACCACCATGGCAATACGCCTAAAGTGCCGGGCATCAAATGCCGCAAGAGCCTTTCGACGATCATCCGATAGGAGGTTCTTCTGCACTTCCATTACAATGTAGTTGCGAGGAAGGCACGGCGCAAGAGTGTGCATCAACTGTCTGGTAGTTCCACTATCCAGTTCCTTGAGGCCGAAGTCCATGGAAGGCTGGTCGTTGAAGCTGCGACTGTGCCCTTGCGACCAAAGCCCGCTCTTCATAGCCCAGTCCTTAACAGTTCGTCCAGAGAGCTCCGTGAACTGGGCCCTGTCCTTGAAACTGTCAAGCCAGGCAAATGTCCCTTCATCAGGCAAGCCGACTGGGACAAGTACCTGGCAGCACATCCACTGTGTGGCATTGCAAAGAATGTTCAGAGTGTAGTTACGTAATTGTACTGAGGTAGTGCTCTTCGCACATCTTCGCACCTTGTGTTGGGTCTCCTTGTCTGCCTGGGTCACGACATCCTCTTGGGCAGCATCTTGGAGGGTGCGGCACACGAAGGGAAGAGGCGCGAACGGCAGGTGTCCGGAGAAGTTGGCATGGAGAGTCACCTCAGTGTAACGCAGGCGTGCAAAAAGTAGGAAAAAACACGTGGGCAAGGCCACGCTTGCCCCGTGCCACCGTTTAGGGCTTAGGCCCACAGAGGGCTGTACCAATGTCAGGCTGTCAAGGGTTTAAAACACGAAAGCTTCCTCAAGGTCAGGCACGCTGCATTCTTGAAATTGATGAGGGGGTATAGAACCCTGCCCTTGAGATGCTCTGGCAGCCCTTGCGGTCTGCCCAGGCGCTCTCCATTGACAAAGAGGCTCAATGTATTTGCATTCGGGCTCTGCGCATCAAGATTCAAAAGGACTCCGATCACAACCTGGCGGTCCAGCTTGATGCGGTCATTCAACCCATCCATCCAAGACCTCCGGCCATCTCTGCACAAGCAACCCTCCGAGTCGAAGCCCATGCTTCCTTCATCATATCCCAGAAAAAGAGACGAGTCATCTGAGCAAAACCCGATTCCACAAAACTGCTTCGGCACACGCTGCTTGCCGGGTTCAATGGATCGGCGCAGCTCAACAATGCGCACCTCGAACAAGTATCTGCCTTGCTTCAGTCCTGCGGTGGCTCGGGCGGCTGCAACGAGATGCTGAAAGCCTCGATCACTCACTGGAAGCAGCAGGCGTCCATCTGGACTCATAACATTCATTGTGGAGTGAGAAGAGCTAACAGAGAACGTTTTGGGCTGGATCCTGCTCCTGCTATCCTCTGGTGCGTCCTCCTCACACTCGACGTAAGCCTGTTCAACCTCCTGCTTGCTATTCCATTCTGGAGCAGCCTCAGCTTCCTCCGCTGGATCCTTTTCTGACTCCTCCAAATCCACCTCACAACGTCCTGGGTGTGCTTCTTTGGAGCCTTGCTCCGCCGGCTCATCCTGAGTATCCTTATGATCTTGTTCTGCGTCTTGCTCCTGATCAGCTGCGTCCAAGTCTTCAACATCTCCATGGTCACCCTTCGGGTCAAACTTGTCAGGTTCATCACGTTGATCACCCTGCTCATTCTCGCCTTCTTGCTCCCCATCACCATTTTCAGGGGCCTGATCCTCCCGTGCCTCATCCATGGGCTCATCGTGTTCAACCTCATGCGGATCATCCCGTTCATCGTGCAGCGAATCTAAATGCTCGTCTTGCTGTTCATCTGGCTGTTCGCCCATCTGTTCGTCTTGCGGATCTTCTACTTCGTACTGGTCTTCTTCGCAGTTTTCAGGCTGATCATCCAGCTGTTCATCCTTGTCCTGCTGACCGTCCTCCTGATCATCTTGATGCTCAGCTTGCGGATCTGCCTGGTCGTCCTGTAACTCCTCAGCTTCCTGAGGAGGGTCTTCCATATCCTCTTCTGGGTCTATGTCGGCTTCTTGCTCAGCCTCATCCGCATCAGCGTCTGGGACTTGCTCCTTACACTTTCATGCCATGAGTGCTACTAATTCACGTTGGAAGCATTCGCAAAACCCTGTCCTCGTCTTCAGCCATGGGTGCTACCCTCCCCACTTCGTGGCTCGTGCTTGGGCCTGTATACGCAGCAAATCCTTAAAATTCGTAATTCCTGCAACGGGCATGCGCAAAGCGAGAGGGTTCGGAGCTTGAAGCAACTACGCAGCTTCGGTCCCGGACTACCCAGCCATCTTCAGGCGGCTCAGAGAGATCTCCGCCTTCTCCTGTTCTACACTAGTAAGATGATATAAACAAGATTAAGCAAGCATTCGCTGAGGTCTCTAAACAAATAAAGGGCTACGGATTTAAGCCAGCATGCGTTGAGGTCTGAAAAATATTGGGCTACCCTTGTCTGCGTATCAATTAATGACTCATGTCCATCTGTGGGTCCTCTGGCGAAGGCATAGGCAGAATGGCTGCCTCGGGCCGGCTTGGGCTGCCCTCTCACAACTTTTTTCGAGCTTCCAAGCTCACTTCCAAACGTCAATCCTTGACACATCGCCCTGGAGACAAATCTTTGGCACGGTGCCTTACAGATCTCCCACGCAGTGCAAATTAAATCGACTGTGCAATTGAGTGCAAGCAGCTCTGAAACAGAGTGCACATGCTCCTCGCGCATGCAGCTACCCTTTCGGTAGGAGAGGCTTGGACAAGCTTCCAGGCGCACCAGATGCTTGCAGGTGCGTCTGCTGATTCAGCCTAGTCAAGATCTTGACGCGTTCCTCGTTCAAGGATACGATTGTGCTCATCTGCTGAGCACTCTGCACTTGATAGCTATATCTCAACCATAAAACTCCGGCAGCCGTTGCCAACAAGAAAAGGCCAGCAAAGAAGGCGCCATAGACCTCTCCAGTCCTGAGTTTCGAGCAACCATGGGAAACTACCCTACACGTGATCAATCTCAACACCATGAAGCCTACAAACTCAAAAAGTAAGTCGCACCTTCTATCTCGACCTTCTGACTTTGCAGTGGCTGAGCGTCGCCTCATTCTGAAGAGTTTCATTGAGTGTCCGTTCAGCCTGCACTGCTCGACGCAAGCTGGGTAGACTTGCTCTCTGCGAGGTGTTGAACGGAGCCTGCTCTTGCGCGCGCCGAGCTGCTGATGCTTGCGCCTGGGCCGCGGCCACCTGCGCTTTGGCTGCGGCCAGTGCTCTGTGCAACCTGGCCCAGGAAGACTATCAAACAACATAAGATATTTACTCTCTTCTTCTTGTATCGGCTGATTATGCAAGACCCTAAGACCTTGCGGGGGTTGCACCCCCAGCTGCGAGCTGAGGATATGCCAGTCCGTCCAGCCGTCGTAAGACACAAGGCACTCATAGTCACCACAATCACAATCGCGACGATCCCAGGTCACAGATAGCAAAGCGCTCCTCTTCTTCTTCTTCTTCGGGTGCCAGGGGGTACTACTACCCCCCCAGGGCGCTGCCCTGCACCCCACACACGGTCCGCGCTTGTCCCAGTCAGCACCCTCTATGCTCTTCTTCTTCTTCTCACTGCTACACCCTCCCCGCGAGGAAAGTGCTTGGGCAACGCCCCAAGCAGGACTCCAGGTTCGCAATCCGTATCAGGTCCCGACTACCGAGCATACAAGACTGGCAAACGCTACAGCTTAGAGCCCCGCTCGGTGTGAAACTTACTCAATGATGGAGTCAGCCAACAACCAACCAACAGCACATGGAGGACTCACACAGTACACGGCCAACTGATCCGACTCCACCCTGCAGCAAGATCCGGGATGCCGACACGAAGCAAACTTCCCTCCCAAATTGCAAAATGCTCTCATTCTCTCTCTTCTTCTTCTTCTTCTTCTCACTGCTCTACCCTCTCCTTCGTGTTTGGTCGGTACAGGCTGGGACCGAGCATGACGGAGCTGATAGCATTTCCTTTTTTGCCGTTGTTCACTGCCGTCCTTGCGACGACATAGAAAGTTTCCACTCTCTCTTCCTGCTACTCCAGATTGCGCTCAACGACGAAAATCAGTCCCCCTAGAAAATGCAAGACATGTCTCCCATAGAGTTGCAGGCCCTCCCTCGCAGAGTGTGCAAAGATACAGTCTACTTCTTCGGCTTGCGCGTTGCCTATGTCTACTATTTAAAGGGCGATGCCTTGCGCTGAGCTCGGCACAAGTCCGCTCACGGAGGACCCAAAGTCTCTCTCCCTCGCTCCTCTTCTTCTTCTTCTGCGGACCCACTTTAGGGCCACTTTAGGGTCTGCGCCCCTTAGCCCAATGTCCAAGCTCCAAAGTTGGTACTGGAGAGGGCCGAGGAGAAAAATTGAAGCTGAATTCTTTCTAGTATAGTCTATCACGTGAAAACAGGTGACCTCTCCAATGCTAAATCAGCTCCTTTCAGCTTCATCTTCAGTCTCCCCCCTACTCCATTAAGCTGTGAAACTCAAGAACTAGCTGTCTGCTGGCCCACATGGTAAACGGGATGTCTCCTCCAAGCCCTACAGACAGATCCACACTTGAGGGGCGAGCCAAGGCAAACGAAAGCTAGCCAGGCTCTATCTAGCAAAGAGTAGCATGGAAGAGGAGGAGGACAGGTATACGCCAGCAACAAATATAGAAGGGCGTTATGAGGCCTGGAAAACCCATCGCGGAACCTCGCCAACTTGACTCCAGTGTACAGGAATGGCAAGGTCTCAATACAACAAGAAATTGCCTGTTTCCAGACCAGGCAAAGGCATCGAACACAACAGAAGGATGGAAAGGTGCAATACAGCAACCCGGCAAGGTGAAGCTTGCCGCGTAGTGATAACTACAGAGGGGCCAGGGAGGTTAGACGCAACAACCAGCGCGGTTGATGTGTATCATGACTTTGCAAGGGTTGCGAAAACTGCAGGGAGCAAAACCTTTACACCCACCAGCATCATGTTATCTGTATTGTGAACTTGCTGCCAGGCTTGAGTTTAGTCTTGCTTTAGCAGTGGTAGCCTTCAAGGTCTGGCAAGCGAGGTAACGTGTGATATAAGTGGAATCTAGCATTAGTGAGAGAGCAAGCGTAAAACATGAACGCAAGATCATTCCAAAGAGCGGATGCTAATAACAGCCAAAAGTTAACCAACAGAGGAAATATACAGATGGGTAGAACATCGGACCTCACCACAGGAATGATAGCATTACAACTAAACGACACTCTCAGAATTACAGTTAATAGAGCAGTTATAAATAATCAAATATTTAGTAGTATTGGTAATATTGTTGAAAAGGCGGATGTCACTAGTTGGGACGCTTTATGTTTCAGAACAGCGGTGCATGTAAAAAAGTATTGAACACACAGTATAAATGATTTATCAGAAACAGCGATGCGTTAGGAGACATAAACCAAATATTACGATGGGATTACAATCATCAACACCAGAGATTAAGTAACAGACGGACAGGCCAGACATTACACATTCAAATGTATCAGTAAGTCAAAATGCATAATCCAGACAGCCACGGACAGATATTCATGCCAATTAGTAACGCTAATAAGTTAGGCATGACATTTGGTCCTGATGTTTACCGTTCTCCAACATCAACACGAACAGTGACAGTTACAGGAACTGGAACATGTAGTGCTTCGGTTGCAGCATTAGATATGAAATGGAAAGAAAATGTCAAAGAAGTAAGTGATAAGTACTGTTGTAGAGTTGTTAATTCGTAGCATGAGCATGTCAGGGCAATGAACATTTAGGAAAAACAAAAAGATGATGCGACAACCAGGCATGATGCTACTATACAATACCAACCGAACATGATGTTTTTCCTACGATGCCTCTCACAGAAAGAATCACATTGGAACCCCCCCCTCCCCCCTCTCCCCGCCCCAAACAACCACAGTCCACCCCCCGCCTTCCCCCCCCTTTCCAAACCTATGCTTTGCTATGAAAAAATCATAGTCGACCCCCCCCCCCTCCTTCTGTGATATATCACACGATCCCTCATTTTCCAGACCTTGACAGCCACTACTTCTAAAGCAAGAAACTCAAGCCTAGCTCCGCTAGCTTTCGCGATCAGAAGACAACCACGCTCAGCTGAGGGAGCTCTCTCTCGCTCTCAGTCTCTTTGGCTTGAGCGGCCGTGTCGAGCGCCCCGGCAAGATTGCCTGGGCAACCTAAACAGCCGATCTCGATCTTTTCTGTTTTCTTGGCAACACGCTCCCTGCGCTCCCTTGTGGAAGCACCGAGGCCATGCCTCGTGCTTCGATCTTTCTTTCTTTTCTCTGCAGCTCGGGGAAAGGGTATGTTTCCCCGGGCATAAATGCCACCTCACAAGTCATTGTTGATCTCCACATTGTTGTGGAAATGATTGGGATGGTCTTGGGCTGATCGCAAACCAAGGCTATACATAGAAGAAATAGTTGTTCAGCAGGTTCCCTCCACTGAGTAAAACTGCTCTCAACCAGGCTTTGCTCTTCAAAGTTGTTTCTCATGAAGGACATCGTGGTTGGTTGCACTTCCCACTGGTTCCTCAAATCGGCCGAGGCCGGAGGCCTGGGGCGTTAAGATGCAGGGCCGTTGGAAGAGTAAGTTAAACCCACCCTTTTTCGGGTTCCTGGCGGGGTAAGGGGGGGTTCGGGCGGTTGTCTGGGTTCCGCACAGGTTGGCGGGGGGCAAAACTAAGTTCCAAGCCAAAAACGAGGATTTCGTGGGGAAAGGTGTCGCTTGGGAGGGGGGAGGGTGTGCTCTCACCCTTTGCCGAGGCGGACTCGCGTTAGGGGATGTGGGGAATTGTGGGAATGTGGTGAGATGTCCCTCTATACTCGCAGGACCAGTGCATGAAAGGGCACGTTTTGTGAAATGGCATTAGTTCAACGATTTGTGGCAACAAGTCGCTTATATTCTCGCATTTACCGTTACCAAAATGCCAACGGTCTCTTCGCTCTAGGTTTCTCTAAGCAGGATTAGCCTGACCTGAGCGGCAGCCGGCATCCCCTCAGAAGGTGTATCTAAACGTTAAAGGAATGATTGGCTGGGTCAGTTCCTATGTGTAACAATGGAACGTGGACATTCTGAGCTTGTACGTATGCCTTGGGACATGAAGGATTGAGCTCCCAATCGATGCAGAATGTGACAAGAAATGCTTCCCCTTCTGGCCACGTCACGGAAGTGAGGTGTTACAGCACTTTTGAGCCAGGAATTCCATTCACAGTAGCCGGTAAACTAAAGGATTAGGCCATGGCTCACAAGTCACCTGCCATCTGTCCTTGCTCAAGAGTCTGTACTGCTGTCAGCAGGAGTGCCAGGCTTTGAGGTTGAAATTGAAATCGTAGAAGCGCGGCGCGCGGGGGGCACACGGGAGACCAGCCCTGTGGGCCCGGCCTGCTGGTGCGGTGAACACGTCTCCAAACTGTGTCCGCCCGTAGAGCCGAGCAAAGCCAACAACTAAGCTTATCCCATCAAGAGCCTGCCGAGCAGCGAAGCTGACCACACTGGAAAGCCAAGAGCGTGCGCCATGTCTCCAAATTCCCATGTCGCGAACTAACATGAACTGTCAATCTCTGTGGGCCAGAGTGCGATACAAAACAACAGGAGCCAACTCAGTGAAGAAAAGGAAGCGCACGTGGGATGCACAAAGCACTCAGCACCCGCCGCTGGGCAGGGGCAACGGCTAGTGCCACAGATCTCCAAAACCTATGCATTCGACATGGCATGCGTAGCAGTACGCAACCCCGGCCAGGACCTGCGAGGCAGGGGCAACTGGGTAGCACCACACACCCCCCGGCTGCCAGAGTTGAGGGCCCCCTTTCCACAGACACAGGCTCATTCACATCTCTGAGCTACGTGAACTTCAAGACCGTGCCATGAGTACTGGGATGATGATGGCCAACCCTCTTCGTACGGGGTCTCGGGAACACCGGGACCTACGCCCTGCAAGACCCACTGCTTGGGCAGCGTAGCCACCACCGACGCACACTAGTGCGTCGTGTTGCCGTCACCTTGACCAGGACACTGGGACAAATGGTGGCCTCCTCGAGAGGGAGCACTAAGCTGTGCAGCCATGAGACATCTCGCATCCGAGCATTCCCGCACATAACGCGATGCACACTGACGCATCACCAGACCGCATGGCCCGGTGTACATCTACGACATGTGGATCATGACATTGTAGAGTCATGCGGTGACCATGCCGCGAGACACCAGTGAGGCTGATGACTAACGCCCATGCACTGATTGCAGTTGGCCATGCAATGCGACCGAGGTGGGTCATACATAAGGCCTGACATATAGAGCATGCATTGGTAGAATCCGAGCAGAGTGAACCAAGGAAAGTACATAGCTCCAGATATAACAGAGATACATACAATCAGGCAACCAGGATCTTCTGCCCCACAAACAATTCAAGAAGTTGGCCGGACGGCACCCTGACACCTGAGGCCGCGACTGCGCAAGGGTAGCGTCCTGCTCCTCGTCGCCTTGATCTGCATGGACCTTCTGCATGCCACCTGTAAGAATGCTAGGCCAGGGCAAGTTGCAGTGCAAGTAAAATGGATCCAAGATTTTGCTGCTTCAGCCTTGTGTGTCGCTTTGCTCAGCACCTGGACAATACCAGAGACAAAACATCGGCCACAAAGAACATTCAACCCATCGCCAAGCCTGCCAGCATGCCCAGCATCATGGGCAGCAGAATGCGCTGTCCAGAACACATCCCCATACCCAATTGGCTTCAGCTGTGAAGCTCCCAATTTGCTTATCAATCTTCTTTGCGAAAGCATGACTCGTAAAATGCTGATAAGTTGCTGTTGCGGCTGCGAATCAAATCTCATGCTTCATGAGGGTGATGACTTGTAGATTCTTCTGTGGAAAAAGAAATTCGCGTGATATGGCCGGCCTGCTCCGCTGCATGACTGGAGCACAGATCTACATCCGGGCATGAAGACGAAGGGTTGAAACGTGCTGCACAGTGCCAGGAGACCGGCTTGGGAACGCGGGCTCGGCAGAGCTCAGATGCGCACCGATTTCGTCGCAGAACCACCAGCCAGACCTAAGTACAGGTTCAGCGACTTGGGACGCAAACAGAAAGTCTTCCAGGTCGAATCTGATCTGCACTTGGCGCCCTGACGGACTGCAGCTGCGTTCTTTCCAGTAGAAGAGGACTTTGGCCTCATGCTACGATGGGTGTAACGAATCAGCATCTGGGGAATTTGAATTCTGCCTGCAATCCACCTTTCGCGGCTTTGCGGAAGACCTGCTGACCTACAGCTTCGTGACTTCGTGTTTCCCTCCAACAAGGACATTGGCGTGATGGGCGTGGAGGATGATTGGTCAAACGATTGCTCCAAGATCAGCACCATGATGCAGGCCTCGTTCGCATGCACATACCAGCCAGCGACGACAAATTGTGATATAGTTGTTTGTCCGGTCGCTGCAGCAACTTACTCTGCGGCACGGCCCCCGAGGTGCCAACGTCTTTGCGCCACATACAGCCCTGTCAGCAGCTCAACCTGAGAAACAGATGCTGCCTTGAAGACCCAGCCACGTGCTTGTGCAGGTTTTAGTTCTGCTGCACTCTACTCTGCTGGAAAGCAAGGGGCAGCAGCAGTCCAACAAACACTTGCGTAAGCCGCGGGCACCGTCAATCTGCAAGTCATTGGGAGCTCGGGCAGTCCAGTCGAAACTGACTCGAGCCTGTGTCATTTGCTGGCTTATGTGACAAACAGCAAGCCTGCCTGAATGCAAAAAAGCAAACTTCGTCACTGCTCTCACAGCTCAACCCTGGGTTCAAGACAGTGCGCTTTGCGTGCTTTCGTTCCACTTCCGAATCGGCCATGTTTAAAGGAATGGGCCCAGACTGGCTGGCTAACTCGGTCTCATGACCATGTGGCAATGTTGACATAGCTTCACTCTCTGGCCCCTGTAAAGGCTTAAGTGAGTACTAGGACTTGGGATGGCAGAAGATATTGCTCGCCGTACTAGCATCAAACATGCAGCGCTAGGGTGAACAGCATGGGATGAGCTTCTGGAATGGCGCATGGTCTGCAAGCGTTCAGGCACTAGTGCGTGGAGCAGCCATCGCAAACAAAAGAGTACTAGAGGCCATCATCACAATCATCAATGCATTTCTGCAATAATCTCTGCGGAAGCCCCACCATGTTTCAGTGGGCGCAGCTGTGAGACAAATGACCAGCAGCCTTCCTCAGGTCAGGAACTGGTGCAAAGCAGCTGGCATAAGACAGCCCCTCTGATCCCACATTCAGTCGAGCAGCTTGCCCTTGAATCACGTAACATGGGCCATGATCTGGCTAGGCGACAATGGTTGATGGAGCGTGGTCCACCTAGGTCACAGCTTAGTTGCACACAACATTTCTCGAGCGGGATCAATCCGAAGCACCTCCATGCTTTGGCAGCACCACGGAGCAAGCCAGCGTTCTAGCGTGGTAACCTGGGCACAGCGCTTGCACTCGTGGTACGTCCAAGTTCAAATACTGGCCAAATGCAACCGCCGAACGGCTAGGACACACAAGGATAGTATCAGCACGCTGCCCCTGTTCAATAGACCCCCAGTTTGCAGAATGACCAGAGATTCATTCATTTCAGTCACACCTCCTTCACACAGTCAATGGTTCACTGGGGGCACCGCTCCGGGGCCTTCTTGGCACTCATCTTCTGCAATGACAGTCCTGCCGCCAAACCATTGCGAGACTTTCCCAGCAGCTTCATGCCACTTGTCCCGCATGCACCGTCTGCACCCACGCAGCCTCTTGAAGGAGGTCAACAATGTCAGAGCAGATGATTTGGATCTGCGCTCAGCATGTTCCAACATCATGTCAGCAGTAAGCATCATGTTTTTGCAACCTTGTGCACCTTTGCCTCAGATGCGCTGAAGACTCACCCGCTTGCATGCTTGATTCTGGGCCACTGTGCGGAAGCCTGGGCATACCGAAAAAGAACCTTTAGGTGATTTTGCAACAGCACCCTCACGCTAAACGTCTGTTCCTGGAATACTTACTGTTAGTTATGCAAGGAAGGATTGGAATTGAAGAAAAGAATAAGTCCGTGCTCTTCATGTTTGAGACCCTTTAGATTGAATTTTTTTGGTGGGCCAAAAAAGGGGCCAAAGATACGTTTAAGGCAAAGGCATCCAAAAACGTAAATTTCAAAAAATCCAAACCCTAGAAACCAATGGGACTGTTGATGGGTTCTTATTTGATTTTAAACAGGTTTTGATTTATGTTGCAAGTGATTCGGAGTGGCTTGTGATGGAACTCTGAGTTAGATTCAGGTAAAGGCTTAGGGAGGCTAGCTTACTTGGCTGCTTTGAAAGCAAAGTAAGCTGCTTTTTTGAAGCCTGATGTTCTTACTAAAGTTAAATTAAAGTCTCGAACATTGCTTCGTGAGCTACACCTTACGGAGATTGCATGAGAGAGCCTTCATATACAGAAACTCCATGGGATGGAGTAGCTGCGTAGCTAATGATTTAATGCTGAGGCCTAGGGAGACTTGCTTCCTTGGAACCTCCGAAAATGAAAAAAGCGAAGCTGATTTTGAAGGCTGATTGGCGTACCAAGGTTTTTTGGGAAGCAAAGGCTCGAACATTGTTTGAGAGGGAGAGGCAGAGGCAGAGGGAGAGGGAGAGGGAGAGAGAGAGAGAGAGAGAGAGAGAGCACAGAGAGAGAGAGAGAGAGCGTTAGCGCTACGCATACGCTAACCCAGCCTGTTCCAAGCAGTCTGCACCAGCAAGGACCCACCGCACGGCCAATGACGTGGTCAAGTGCTTGCCCGCATAGTAGACAGTGTTGTCTTCGCGGGCAAACACAAAGTGAAGTGCTGCTGGATAGCCGTGCGCTACCATAACATGCATGCTGCGCACCGGGAAACAGCTTGCTAAGCTGCGCCGGCTTCTCGACCACTTGCGGAGCCTGACAGCACGAAAGGTTCAGTACGCCAACTTAACGAACAACGCGACAACGACGGCGACGACAACCACCACCACCACCACCACCACCACAACAACAACAACAACAACCAAAAAAAAGAACAACGACAGCAGCAGCAACAACAACAATAATCACAACAGCAGCAACAACAGCTAGTGCTGCACTACGACTACGACTACGACTAAGACGACGACGACGACGACTACTACTATACTACCACTACCATTACTACCACTACCACTACCACTACCACTACCACTACCACTACCACTACCACTACCACTACTACTACTACTACTGCTACTACTGCTACTACTACTACAACAAAAACAGCAATGACAATAACAATAGCAACAACGACGAAGCATCATCGTGACAAGCCCCGTCCTTCGAAAAGTCTGCTTTCCATAGGCCGCCCAGGTCAGAATGGAGACAGCTCGAATTGCGCTGCTCCACTCGCACGAGCCGGTAGCCATCCGCCAAGTAAACCTGCCAAGTTGCCCTTGACCACACACGCTAAAAGGCTTGCAGAGCTGAAGACAAACCCGAGCAGGCACCGTAACAGGATCCTGCCTCACGCGTGCGTGTGGCCTGACACAGGCTCTTCTTGGGGGGATGTCCTGCCACAGGTTCCAACCCACCAACTACTGAACGGAGGCAACAGCATTCCACACTGCAAGCGCATGCAACAACGGCAGACGCAGCCTTGCAGCTGTAGAGAGGGAGGGACTCCACTGCGCGTCTGCGTTCCTCCAGGCTCATGCTCCCAAGCTTCGCCAAAGCCCGGGCCGAAGCACATGGCAACCAGCAGGTTACACGCCCAGGCTGCATGGACCATGCAAACCACTTGGCTGAGCCCCCGGCAGCCTTAAACTGACTGAAGGTTTTGCCCGCCGACGCCCAGGACTCACCACGGAGGAACGTGGTGAGCTTGGCGTCGTCAAGAGCCAGCAAGTTGCTGAAGCTCTCGCAGGCAGGCTCTTCCGTCCACGTCCATGTTAGCGATGGCGGACAGGAAGCTTGGCTTCAGCCCTAGAGACCTTGCAGTCCGAACTAGACGCAGCAAGCAAGCCCAAAAACAGCAAAGCCCGCCCAAAATTGCCCAAGGCCCCTGCACGCGCGGCATCGACCTGAAATCCCAACTTGCGTCAGACACGCGCTGCAACCACAAACAACTGAGCACACACCAGAACTACGGCAGGCAAAAGCACTGCCCCGGGGCCCGGACTGTATCTGTTTGTTCACATCCGACGCCAACTTTGAAGTTTCGCAGTTCCTCCAAGCAGCCACGTCATCTCACCCCACACAGGAGATGTCACGCCCAATGCGGAAGAATAAACTGCTTCACTAAATCACGCTACACCCGACGCCAAAACACGTAGGATATTGTCCTTGCGTTGTTCTTCAAGGCGGGCTGCATGGTGCGCATCAACAAGAGAGGATCCAGAGGCTCCTCAGGCAGCGCAGTGAACTTGAACATCAACTTGAGGATCAGCGACCAGAAATCCGACCCATGCATTCAGCCAACCCTAACGCGCCTCTTCTTCGTTGCTGGACTCGACTTCTGTAGTAGAAGCGTAGCCCGGAGCCTGGGCATTGGGCCGAACTTGAACATCAACTTGAACACCAATTGGCCAGAACATCAGACTCGTGAGTTGCATCGACCCTAACAAGCCTCATCTTCTTGAACTTCGAGCCTGGCACCTGGCAGCATGTTTGCGATTCACGTCTTAAGAACACTGTAGTCCCCGACAAGAATCAGCTACTGCAAGTCTTATCGCCCGCCTGACGCGGAGCAGCCTCCTGGCGACCTTCAAGACCACTAGCTCAAAAATGCAACCAGTAGAACACATCTGTATATCCGGGCAAACTAAGGACGCTGCTGCAGCCTTGCTCGAATCAAACGCTCCTGGACATGTGTGGCCCGTCTTGTTTGCACATCCAACAGAAGTGAGACACGCACACACGGAAAGGAAAGTGAACTTATGACTGGCAACAAAACACCATACTTAGTTGCAGTAGAAAACACTTTAATTCGAGGCACCTCATACCTCCTACCATCTGTTCCAGGCATCACAATTCTGAAGCTGTCATGGGTCATTGAACCACGAACTCAAATTATCACGGGTCGCGGAACCATATTAACAAATCTACAAGCGCATGCATTCACGCATACGCTGGCAAGCGTAGGCACGCACCAAACTTTCAAAAAACACACTCACACACAGACAAACACACACGCGCACTTACACATATGCATTTGTTTGTACATACATCTATATGTATATATATGTATATAACATGTATATACATAAATATGTACGCGCGCACGGAGAAGAGAAAAAAAGAAAAAAAAACGATAAGCAAGGCCCAGCTCCTCATCCTCCTCCTCCTCCTGCGCCTTGCGCTTCGCTCCAGCAGCCTGGCGACGAGTTGCGTCTGCCAAAACCTTCCCAGAGCAACAATGGTTTTTCCAACTAAGCCAGACATGCCTGGAAGCATCCCCTTAGACCATGCCAGCATGAGCGTAACTCCATGTCAGATACTCCTGAGACTCGTTCGCGCATTGACGACTCTCTGGGTTCGACCTAAGCTCACAGTCGCACGAAAAGAGCAGGCACGCTCAGCAAAGCCCCAACGAAGATAACTTCTGCAGCAGAGGTCTCTAAGGAGGAGGCGAAACACGTGGAGCTCCACGAGCCTCAAGCCAGCTCGCGCACACGCAGAGCAAAATTCGCTTGCAATTCAATATGTCCTGCCTTGGCCTTCGCGCTTGCAACCCTCAGCTCATCATCACTGAGACATAACCTACGCAAAAGAGGCAGCAACCGAGAGCCCCGCCAGATGTTGCCGTTTTCCGCACGTTTGGCGTTATTCATGTCCTAAGCGCAAGGATTGTCTCGCACACACCCCCTGCAACGTCCCAACTTAACTAGAAAAAAGCGCTGACTGAAGAAACCGCGCGCACGACTGAGAGAAAGGCTTTACGGCTCTTAAAAAATCGGGTCCGGGTAGTGATGGCCTGTCACAAGAGGCACAGTCATCATTCTAGCACGTTGACACCGCCAAAGAAAAGCGCACCTGTGTGTTGGGGCAGCCTCCCACCACCTCCGCAAATCCAACACACGCACTCCAGTGACGATGCTGAAGGCTGGCACACTATAGCTTAATAAGTCTCCGACCACAGGTCGCTGCCCGAACCCCAAATGTGGGCGCTTGGCACCCAGAGGTCTAACCGCACAAGCAGATTTGCAAGAACAACCCTGCTCGGCAGAGCCTGGGGCAGGGGTCTGGCCAGGCCTGCACTGCACATGACCAAAAAGGTTAACAGGGAGCACCATGGCTCAATTGGAACTGTGAGCCCAAGAGCCTTGACTTTTAAAGCGCCGCTTCATACCTAGCCAGCAAAAGGGGAATAGAACGCGTCTGTGACATATATCTCTATCTATATATGTATATATGCGACAAATGGCTTATCTATTTCCAACTCGCGCTCGGGCTACATTGGAAATACCTTTGCTTCAAAATACTTGCCAGTTGTAAGTCTTTAACGGAAAAGATAATGAGCAGCTGGGCAACCGACCGACTGCGGCGGTGAGGAGACAGCGGTGAAAAACTGTCCACAACCTAATTACAAGCAAGAACAAACGTAAACCGAAACGCACACGCAAAAACACAAGCAAACACACACAGACACACGCGAACTTGCAAGCTTTTCAACACAATGCACGGTTTCCATGCTCACTCGGATATACAACCGTGCTGAGATGTATTGACAATCTATCCGCTGAAATGCGTCGTCGCAAACTGCCACTGTGGCTGCTGTTGTCAAGACAACAGCTAATCTATCCACGCAGGCGCGGATTGAATGCTCTGCACCAGGGCAGATCCAATCTTCCACGCAGGGTGGATCTTCTTTTTCACGCTGGTAAAAAGTCTTCAATGGCTTTCCACGCTGCTGTCTAGCTTTGTTAAATGCGTTTCGGAAGTGCATCCACGCCTGCGCACGCACACACACACACACACACACACAGCTTCACACGCAAACACTGAGGTGACACACAGACATGCAACTACACGGAATCACACGACACAAACATGCGAAAACAAAATAATGCACAGACAGAACCCCAAATCGGGATCGGGGTTCCTAGGACCGCCATCAAAGAAGCTCTCAGCACTCTGCAAAGACTTTCTGGCGACAAAAAACACGTGCTTAGGTTGTGGCCGTTTACAGCAGGCCTTACAGCAAGCACTGACACAGTCAACAGCTCATCAAGATGTCTTCGTGACTAGAACAAAAACACGCAATTAGGCACCTTCTTCTTGGTCAGGAAAGACGCTGCCTGAGCCGCAGAAGTATAGCAGCTTTAAACTATACAAAGCGCAGGCTGCAGTTTTGCCATATGACATTACGAAATTGCTGAGAGCACGACAGTTGCGCCAGGGGCCACTGCTGCCTCCAAAAACGACAAAACATTCCCCAGGAGGACGCATGTCGTCCTGTCAACGCAAGCCTGGAGCCAGTTCAGGAATTGGGTGACCTCAGAGCGCATCAGGCATGAGCGATGAACCTCCCCTGCGCCTCGTTTTGGAGTTCTTCTGAAACCAACAGGAACATTTCTGAAATCAAGACCCGCTCCGTCTCACGACCGGCCTATCAGAACGAATTATCACGAGTTACAAAACTCATTCCAGAATGCACGCAACTAAGTATGCATTCCTCACACCTCTCATATACGACTAAGACCAGAGCGTTGAGGTATGAGCTCCACTCGTTCTCCTCAAAGCTTGCAACATGCTGCGCATAATTGTATTCCTCAAAAAAGCCAAGGTCCAAACGAACGATTCATCATCAGCACATTCCGCCTCATATTGTTATATATACAGATATGTAAATACATATATATATATGTACGAGGGACTTTTATGTATCATGTGACCCAGGTGTTTTTGGTAACGAATCGTTTGTTGGGAGACCCTGACTTTTGCAAATTCTGAAATTCTAGGATGTGGGAGGCCGAGAATTTCTAGAATTTCTAAAGTGTCTAAAATTCCTAAACTTTCTAAAATCCTAAAATTTTAGAATTTTAGGAATTTTAGAAATTTCGCTATTTGAAAAATTTCTCAAATCCTAAAATTTTAGAATTTTAGGAATTTCAGAAATTTCGCTATTAGAACAATCTCTAGTTTCCTAAAATTTTAGAATTTTAGGAATTTTAGAAATTTCGCTATTAGAAGAATTTCCAAAATTCTAAAATTCTAGGATTTGGGAGGCCCAGAATTTCGAGAATTTCTAAAAATTTCTAAAATTCCTAAAATTTCTAGAATCCTAAAATTTTAGAACTTTAGGAATTTTAGAAATTTCGCTATTAGAAAAAAAAATCGCTATTAGAAAATTTCTAAAATTCTAAAAGTCTAGGATTTGGGAAGCCCAGAATTTCGAGAATTTCTAAAATTTCTAAAATTCCTAAAATGTCTAAAATCCTAAAATTTTAGAATTTTAGGAATTTTAGAAATTTCGCTATTAGAAAAATTTCTAAAATCCTCAAATTTTGGAATTTCAGGAATTTTAGAAATTTCGCTATTAGAAAAAAAATTGCTATTAGAAAAATTTCTAAAATTCTAAAAGTCTAGGATTTGGGAGGCCCAGAATTTCTAAAATTTCTAAAGTTCCTAAAATTTCTTCCTAAAATTTTAGAATTTTAGGAGAAATTCTAGAAATTCTGGCCCCCCCAAATCCTAGAATTTTAGAATTTTAGAAATTATTCTAATAGCGAAATTTCTAAAATTCCTAAAGTTTTAAAAAACTTAGAAACCTTTTTTTGGATTTTAGAAATTTTGGAAATTCTAAAAATTCTGGGCCTCCCGAATCCTAGAATTTTGGAAGTTTAGAAATTTTGAATAGCGGAATTTCCAAAATTCCAAAAATTCTAAAATTGGAAAGCTCTCTTACTCTTTCTTAAGAATTGAGAAGCTCCCTCATTCTTTAAGATGAAGGGGCTATCTTGACAGAGGAGCTCTCTTTTTCCGTTAGTAACAAATAGGAGCTCTCTTGTTTCATTAAAGGACAGAAGAAGTTTCCTATTCCTTATT